AACCCCAAAACCCCAAAACCCCAAAACCCCAAAACCCCTGGCTAAATGATTGAAGTTGAAATCAGAATTAGTTCTTCTTGAAGGGCGGGATTATGAAGGACTTAGGATCTTGGGAAGGAGGGTTTGGCTTTGAAGATGGTTGTGTAGGAGAGACAGTCTGATCCTTTATCGAAGTGGATGTCCGGAACTGTGTGTTGGGTGCTTATTTCAGTGATCCAAGCTTCACTGTTTCTGACTCTATCTTCAGGGTCTGTAATTGTTCCTTTGGAGAGATTTGGAATCGTTATTTGTACTTTTTCTTTAGCAAGGTCTCCACGGAAAGCAATTCCTAAGCTTTTGGTGTCGAGGTTAGGCTCATGTATTTGAATCCCAATATTGGAGTCTAATTCAAGAAGGTTTATGTAGTTAAGGAAAAGAATTGATTGGTATTTATTTTTCACAGAAAATCCTTTTAAGCGCTTCAACTGTGCTCAGCTTTTCTTTTCCAAGTCCTTAGGTGTAGGAAAGAAGGTGTAACCTCCATCTTCAATCTTCTCTAAAACCTCAATCATTCATTTCTTATCAGTTTTCTCATACTTAGGAGCATTATCTTCCTCCTTTACCCCCTCAGTCACTCCCTGTCCTTTACTCCCCCAAGATCCTTGCATTCCTCCAAAAATGCCTCTCTTCGTCTCTTCTCCACCTTCTTTCTCTCTACTTCCACTCTCTACACCCTTCATGCCCATAAAGGGTGACTTTATCTTAACTTCTTCAGTCACTTCCCCACTTCTCTCCTTATTGGCTTCCTTCACTGGCTGATCTCTTTCTTTGCCCAGCTTATTTCCTGGCTGGTCGTCTTCTTGGGTAACAGGCTTGCTGGGTTTTACTAGATCTGTGAAATCAAATGTATGTCTCTCTCCTACCTTCCCTCTCTTCACTCTCTCCTCTTCCACCCTCAAATCTCCATACAACTTCGTCAACTCAATCACAGTCTTCACCCTCGCCTCCTGCAAATTCCTCTCCTCAATTCCTCTAATAATATCTTCCATTCTCTACTCCCAAAAGTAGCTCTTCTTACTGAAATTCAATAAAATTATTAATAATCGGGGTTTTGGGGTTTTGGGGTTTTGGGGTTTTGGGGTTTTGGGGTTTTGGGGTTTTGGGG